ACAGATACCTCGAATGATTTTATTGAACTATAATTGATATAATAATAGAATATGCACTTGGTTATAATGTATATGATGTCTAAATAAAAGAAGACTCACGAGAGATTTCATTTTTGGAGATAGAGTGATTTCGTCTTTTGGGAGGAAACTGAATACCCGAATAACGCTGAATGCGCTTTTATACGAAACTCCTGGCTCCGCTTTCGTCGAAAACGTCGCTGTCCGAGGAAAGAAGAAGCGAGACGTGAGACGTGAGAAGGACGAATACATATAATAAAGGTGGCATCACGAAGAAAGAGCCCGCAAAAATTTATTCATCTGACATTCCTCCTACCTGTTGCCCAAATCGATTAGTTGCATAATCGAGCATGGAAGAGGGTCCGGCAGGTACAATAAAAAGAAGATGAAAAATGAAAGGCCATCCACCAGCAATAAAGCACGTCCTCCTTGGCGATCATTGAAAGATTTCATACATCGTATGAAATTGTTGTATCGAGTACGATTTTATTAATTATTTTTCATTTCATAAGATTGTACCGCGTAAATCATGTGAGGAGATTGTATTAACAGGCCGTGTGAAATTTCTTACATTACAATGCAAACGACTAAACAAAAATTACCTTTTCGTGTTTAACGATTATTAACAATTACCGATGCCGATGAAATGTCATTAAAAATGTTTCAAGGCTAAGTAAATCGAGAGTCGTAATAATTATGATTTACATAATTTCTACAGTTTTTTACGAAATAGGTTTTAATATTATGCGGCGACCTCGTGTTAAATAGTTCCTGAAAAATGTGACACCCAGTTATGTATTCTCGAGAAATACAGTAGAACAGGAGAGCCCTGAAGAACCACTTGCTTTCTGTGCATAATTTAATACAAATTATAGTGAAAAAATTCGACACTTTTCGGTCCACGAAATTACGCAAATTATTCTTAATCGATACGACATTTGTGAGCCTTGTATTAATAGAAAGGAAAAGCTTACAATTAAAAGGTCTTTTGGTTTTGTGAAGATATATTTAGTATATAAAAACTCTTAGTAAATCTGTCCTTCCTTACGTGTGACACGTAACTCTAAGCCGCTGTCTATTAAGAAATCATCTATTCTTAACACAATTTCGCTGAACACAAAACTGATCGATGAAAGTGACAGAACAGGAAAGAACACTTAACGAAGCTGCTTGTACTTTATACAACTTCTCTGACACGTTTTACAATCCGAAAACTTTCTATTCTAATTGTAAGGACCTAAAACTATTAAAATTCAATCAAATATAAAATCACGACTTTGTTTTAATATTTTACTTCCGCATGTTTTTAAACGATTTTTAAGTGGACGTCCTCCATCACTCAGACAAGAACAGTATTAATATTTCACTCTATATACTTAATATTATATCAGCAGTGGATGGAGGGTTGAGAAATGTGAAATTTTACAGTCCATAACTTTGCAATAAATAACAAAAGAAACTATGATATTAGAAGCGTGAAAGCTTCATCTTTAAAATGCCGTTTGATTTATCGCGATCTGACTTCCAGTTCTGGAGATATTCTTATCTAAAGGCAAGCATAATTTTTTCGATGCCACTATTGTCCTTCCCGTAAGTCGATCGAGTCCTACCCCAATTTCCACTACCAGGCAGTCTAGACATTCGCGTAACTAGGTC